CGAATATGAAGGCATTTTCGCACTAGACAAATTCTTATCAAGAGACGAAGTCGTCCAATAGGTGTATGCACCTTCGCATTTTGTTTCACTTGCTCAACTACCAAAAGGAAGGTATTGTAACCGCTAAAAATCACATTGATATTAAATAACACACAGTGCATATTAAAAAAAGAATGAAAAAATTATTTCACCTGTAATTTTTCTCAGCAACGTATTCTAACCAGTGCCAGGCATAAGGTATTTTTAAATATCCAACACTATCGAGACAAGGCAGTAAATCCTTTTGTAAGCAATTTTCTAAGCACTTACAGAAATTATACAGATCGTCATTTTCGTCAGTGATCTCTTTAGCATGCTCAATTAGCTTTCGAGTCCATCCTAAAAGGACAAAATTATTCTACAAATTCATTTATTTTGTTAAATTTATTTTGTTAAATTTTTATTATAGGCACAATAAAAAAATTATCAACAACACTTGCATGAAAATAATAAAGGAATATATATTTTTGATAAAATTATTGACGAACAAAAATATTTCGTTTTTCAAAAATATATATGAAAAAATATATATGAATTCTAATACTGATTATCGACATGTGATAATAAATTTCGACATTCACAATATTCGTAGAAAATAATGAATTGACGAAGTAAATATTTTAAGTTAATTAAAAAATGCAATATTCAATCATACACACATGCACATTTATGCACATTTTATTTAAAGATTATTTACTATTAATTAAAAAAAATATTGGAAATTAAAATAAATATTTTATATATATATATATATATTTTTTTTTAAATATATAATAAAAGTAAATATGATGATTATAAATATCATACATTTTAATCTAGAAAAAGAAATCGTGTGTTCAATCGTAAAACAGAATGGTGCCATAAATCTTCTGATCTAACCTGGCCTTTTTAATTGCGGCATTACCTTTCAGCTCCTTGATGAGAGGATCCGAGACCGACATGGCACATTCTCCGCGGAATATTGGCGTTAAATCAACCGCGGCGCGTCCATAGTAAATTCTCGCGTAAAATTATTTTATTGTCGCTACTCACGCGTCAACCGAGCCCTGTCAACGAGAACACCTGCATCGTGCTGGCCAGGGCTGTGCAAAAGGGAACGGAAATAAATGTGAGAAAAGGATTTTTATTCGTCCACAAATTCAGTATCAAAGAAGTTTAAAAGGAATTAAAACAACGTAACCGGAACTTGTAATGTTATCAGTATAATTAAAAAATAATCAATAAAGTTTATAATCAGTACAAAAATAGAAAATAGTTACATATGATGCACCCGCTGCATCCCCTATTTACACGGTCCTGGTGACAGCGCGGGATCGGTGGATGGTGGATGGTGGATGGTGGTGGTAAAGTCGCACAACTGGATCACGCTCGCTAGAAATCGAATATCGCTTTTGCGGCAACACTTGACGAGATAGACTATTAAAAGCTGATTATTTTAAGCACACTTTGAATGACCTTATTAAATAAAAATAATATTCCAAGATTATTAATACTTTCTTAGATATTTTTTAGATACTTAACATAATTCATTTTCTGTGTCACGATATTATTACAACGTGTCCAGACATTACGCATGTTTAAAACACATATTAAAAAAGACATTAAAAATCAATAAAAATCAATAAAATTATACACATGGAAAGAACGGAATTTTCGCTAAAACGTTCAAAAATTCGGCCAAATCTGAAAATAATTTTATTACATTATCAAAATAAGTAGGATGCTCATATTGGCTGTTATAAAAAATTAAAAATTTTCGCAATATTATTAGCATGCTTAAGTGATCTGTATAATTATTTTGATGGTTTCAAGAACATTATTTTTAGATCTATATTTCATAAAATTTTTAGAAAACCGTTTTTCCCGAATACAATAATATTTTATAATTTCTTGCAGCGCCATTGAATTCAATTTCTCGTGTGGAGGCACATACATAGCCAGCGGTCGCACTGATAACAACATCGTTCCAATCCTCTAATCATGTAAGAAGATTTATATTAGCATCAGTATCTTCGCGACTGTTGACCACGGTGATTATCTACCTCGTCGCTTAATCTCCACTTCCGTTGTAGGTCGCCGTCGTGAATTTAAAGTGAAAAGAGTTCCGAGAACAATGGCAGAACCGATCCCGGACGTCAATAGCATTAAAGCGAAGGCGTTGCAGACCTTCGCCGAGAAATTCAGCGAGCAAGCCGACGTTTGCGTGTACGCACCGGGACGCGTTAATCTCATCGGCGAACACACCGATTACAACGAGGGTTTCGTATTGCCAATGGTAAATCTCTTGGAGTCATCACGTATGCCAGTTCACGCTTTCCTGCATTTTTCCCTCATCGTCTCACTCGAAATCGCATGCGTCGCGACATTTTATTTTGTCTTAGGCACGAGAGTCTTGGCATAAAAAAAAAAAATGCAATGCGAAAGCAGATTCAGATTTTGGGTATAAAAGTTTTCCCTGCTCCTTCGTTCTCCTCTCCTCCTCCTCTCGAAATATACTATTCGTAAAATGTAGAGAACTCGTGTGACGCAAATGAATTTAAATACAATCCGAAGTCGATCTTTATTCATGGATTACGTAATTAATTATGCAATGTTGAATTGTAATGTGAATTATAATATTATTTCATTATCACATATGTGCATTACTCGAAGATATTTTGATATCTGGCATGTACATGCTTACATAAATACACGCATGATAGACACTGACACAGAGTTAACTTGCGTCAACATCGGGATATCACGGCCACGTGATATTGTTGCAACTTTTTTTCTCGCGCTGAATTGTCAGTTATGTAACACATATGTAACACAATGGAAGAATAGAAATAAGATTTATAGTGAATTCAATTATCCATGATATTTTGCATGCTATATATGAAAGTATTTGTTAAATGCAAAGCATAAGTGTTTGACTGATAAAACATCGAATGTAAAATATATGTAATATATTAACATGGGGTATTTTGTCGGTCAAAAGGTTTATATTACGTTTTTATAATTAAATAATTGTATTTTAACGCGCAGAATAATTCAAATGATTGAATTTACTATTGTTTATCAAATGTCCATTTATTGTGCCATGTAATATAATTTTCGTGTAACATAAACGCTACTGAAATAACATAAATCAATGAAGCGTCGCTGTAAAATAATATTGCTATTTATAACATATCATTGATTATTCATAATTGCAAAAAGCTGTTATTGCATTTTTTTTAATTAGAAATATTTTCAGAGTTTTCTTTTTATCATATATTACTCGATGACAAGCACAAATATGATTTAGAGATCTTTATTACTGATAAAAATGTAACAGCTATTTTTTAAATTTACATATATACAAATACAGATTTAAAATGATTTCATTAGGCTTTCCTGCTATCAACGTGCACGAGAAAATCTATCGTTACTGAAAATAATAATTTAATAATTTCAAAATAATCATTAGGCGTTACCGATGGTCACGGTAATAGCCGGCAAGTCTCACGGTGGTAAAAAAACGAGAATTCTTTCTTTGAACGACGTAGTCGGCGCTACAAACGAATTCGAGTTCGAAGCGGGAAGTCGAGCTAATATAAAACCGGGAGAGCCAAAATGGGCGAATTATGTAAAAGGATGCATCGCCAATTTTATTTGTGAGTTGTTCACGATTTCAATTGTCATATAACTTATTCAAGTCCGTAATTCTGCATCGTCGATTAAATTTGTAAGAAATTTTTAATAAGAAAGGGTTGAATTATCTTTATTTGTACAATTATAATAGCCTTGGGATATTTTTGTAATCAGCTATTCTAATATTTTAGGTGACGTCCCCGCGTTTAATGCCGTTATTATATCGACTGTGCCAGCAGGTGCCGGACTTAGTAGTTCGGCAGCTCTAGAAGTAGCCACTTATACTTTCCTGGAAACTTTGAGCGGGAGGAAACCGAAGAAACCAGAACAAAAGGTAATTGCAGTCTTTTGGCGATTGCTTTTTTCCTAACAATAATGACATAATGTAATATTAGATAAAAAAAATTATAATTTAAAGAATTTAAAAAAAATTTGATTGACAATGTCTTGGATCGGACATAATGATGACAGCGGAAATATAAATGAAAACTTCTGTTAATTTATCAATAATTAAATTACAGAGAATCGGGAATTTGATATTTGTTTGCGCTTCATTTTATTTCAAATGATAATTAATTGATGTATCGGAAATATTTTTACCCATAAGTATTTTTTATGCGTATTATTATACATACACGGAAAGAACACTTTTGCTGGCAAATCTAAAAATTTGGCTAGATGGCAGGTCTGAAAAACGATTTCGTTGGGCTTTCAAAATTATTATATACGATTTCAAATTGATTGTTGAAAGATCAAACATTTTTGCAATATTATCATCATATTTAAGTGTTCTACGAAATAATTTTGATGGGCCAATAAAATTATTTTCTATCTGTATCTGTATCTGATCAAATTTTTAGATTTGCCAGTAAAAATGTTTCTTTCCGTTTGTAGGCTTTAGCATGTCAAAAAGCGGAGCATGAGTTTGCTGGAGTCCCCTGCGGTATAATGGACCAATTTATTTCGGTGATGGGCCAAGAAGGCTGCGCCCTTTTACTTGACTGTCGCGATCTCAATACTAAACAGATACCCATGTTGCACATAGATAATTACATTTTTCTCATAACGAATTCGAACGCACCGCACAAATTGAGTTCGAGCGCCTATTGCGAGCGCAGAGACTGTTGTTACGAAGCCGCAAAAATATTAGGCAAGAAGAGTTTGAGAGACGCAAATATAAATGATATCCGAGGTAAGATAGAGAATTTCATATGTGTGTGTATTTAATTTTCTTCTGAATTTTATTATATTAAATAAATAATTATTTTGTATCCATTTTATTACAATGAAAATAATTAACGTAGTCGCTGCCCATCGGTTTTCTATACATGATATACTAATATATTTTAGCGTTGATATCGCAAAATGCGTCCGATCGTATTGTAAAAAGAGCTCGTCACGTGATCACGGAAATTCAACGAACTCTGGACGCCGCGGTCGCACTTGAGAAAGGCGACTTTCAGCAGTTTGGCCGATTAATGAATGAAAGTCACGATTCATTGCGCGACGATTACGAGGTTTCGTCTGAGGAGCTTGATACACTGGTCTCGGCGGCCAGAGAGGTGGACGGCGTATTAGGAAGCCGTTTGACAGGCGCGGGCTTCGGTGGTTGTACCGTAACTTTATTGAAAAAAGACACGGTTAACAAGGCGATCCAACATATGAAAGCAAAGTTAATATCTCTCTCATTTACATTTAAAATTAAGTTCTTATTTTGTTTTATAAATATTCAGGTCATCTTCGTTTCTAGATATCCTGGCACACCTGCATTCTACATAGCGACCCCGGCCGGAGGTGCTCGAAAAATTGGTGTGAACTAATATTAATGTCAATTTCTTTACATACACATGTACATATTTTACAATAATGTTAACAAGTTGTAAGATACTTTGACATGATATTGATTTTTCAAGATTTAAACGTTGTGTGCTCCTGTTTATCGAAC